GGCGCGCCGCCGGCTCCCGCCTCGCCCGGCCCATGCGTGCTTTGTCTCCCGGGACCTGGCGGGCGGAGTCTCGTGGCCCCGACCCGAATCTGCAGAGGGAAAGCTCTTGCCTTCCCGGGCTCTGGTGCGTGGACCTGAGATTCCCACAGCCTCCTCAAGCCGAGTCTCGCTCGGTTCCGGTCCAGGACGGAAAGCACAGCGCCTGATTCCTCGATGGGGTTGCCTAAGGAGAGCGGAACCGAGTCCTTTGCGTTCTGCTTTCCGGAGAAACCAAGAATTAAACAAAACCCCTCGCGGGGGTGGGGGGTGGGGTGGGGGTGGGTGGAGAGGGGAATGCCTCTAAAAGCAAAACCGTAAAGTCACGTAAAGGCGTGTAGATTAGCAAACATTTGCGCACAGATAAGCAAAAATCAGATGACTCAGGCAGCAGGGCTTCCAGAGAACTGGTTGAGAGCTCTTACACTTAAAACTTCCAAAAAATTTTTGTTTAAATTGTTTTTATTTTATTTTATTTTGTTTTATTGTTTTATGAACCCGACCCGATTTTCCAGCAAGCCGGATGCCCATAGATCTGAAGCCGAATAAACGTATTTATGCAGTGAAATGCACCTGCCAGTGACCGACTCCTCTTCCTTCTTTCAAATTCCTGTTCTTCCTGCCGGTGTTTACAAGTGAGATGCTAGATCCCTCGTTAGACTGACCACTGCCTGTTCACCAACTATACTTCCTTGCCCCTCCTGTTCTCCTTCCCGGCTGTATAACCCCTCACTTTAATCGGGGAAGTGGGATGGTCTGGAGGTTTGGTTCCCTTCTCTCTGGTTTACGTCACTGGTAAATAATAAAGCCTTCTTTCTCGACTATACTTGCCTCGGTGACTGACTGTTCAGTGCAACCAGCAACGAGACCCTAGACCCAACGTCTGGCGTTGGGTAACATTTAGATGGGCAGAGAGAGTGAGAATGGCTGCCTAGGCACACTTGTACTGCATTCACTAACCTCTGTGACAGAAAGGAATTGGAAGTGGTTGGTCCTCTTGGTCAAACCTGTTATTATTTGGGTGTCCCTAACTTTCTCCATCTGGAGCAATCATTCAGTTCACTAAATTCCTCTTGCTGGGGATCCCATGCTCAACAACTTTTCAGTACCTGCTTTAAAAGACTTTTCAAAGATTTCATAGAGGATCTTTTAAGAAATCAAATATCCAGACTCTCAGCTTCCAGAGTATTCTTTGCTAAAATTAGTCAGGCCGAGAACCCCTGTATTCATGCTGCCCTTGGCCAGCATCGTCTTTCTTCTTCCAAAAGAGAGGCATAATTCTCTGTCCATCTTGAATATGCTACTGTATAAAAACCTCTGCAGCATCCAACATTTTGTTGTCTGGATAAGAAAATAAATAACGTCTTCATTACAATCCTCTTGCAAATTAGGCAGTTTCCAATGTTTTGCTTTCAACAAAAGTTGGAGGACCAAATTCAGTGGTCAGCGGACCTTTCAAAATAATTTTTGTGATTTTTTTCATACAATTCAGGAGTTCTTTTTATTTTTACTTTGTATTTTTTGAGTCAGAGTTTCACTCTGTTGCCCAGGTGGCACGCTCCTGGCCACTGCAGCCTCGACCTACTGGGCTCAGATGATCCTTCGGCCTCAGCCTTCCAAGTAGCTGGAACTACAGGCATGTGCCATGCACCACCACACCTGGCTAATTTTTTGATTTATTGTAGAGATGAAGTCTTGCCAAGTTGCTCAGGTTGGTCTCGAATCTGTGGACTCAGGCAATCCTCTCAACTTGGCCTCCCAAAGTGCTAGGATTGTAGGCGTGAGTCACTGCACCCGGCCTAACTCAGTTCTAAGAATTGATTGAGGTTGAAAGAACATACTTCTTTCATATGTGGAAAATTTTCTCAGTGCTTCCATAATGTAAAATTAAAATATAGTATTGACAATGAACAATAAATCATTCTGGCAATAAGTAATAGCTGTCTACAGATTTCTAAAGTGAGGAAGGAGCCATCTTTGTCATTAAGCAATGCATTTCCAAAACTATTCTCTTTTGAAAAGAAAAATTGTGATACACTTATATTGTGTTGATTAGGTGTGTACCGTTTTTGAAACCACCAGGCCAAGGCTACTGGGAGGACACCAAATTAAACAAAGTTAGGTTTATTTAGCTTGCCCCAGCATGGGACAGCACAGACCAAGAAAACCATGATGTATTGGTAAGAGTGAGTTGGGAAGAGTTTATAATAAGATTTGGGTTTGTGCTAGGAGATTTTAAAGAGAGCTAATGGGAGCAGAGCCAGATTTGGATTGCACCTCAGGAAACTGGACAGTTCAACAATTGGATACCTTAGTAATTCTGTTCAAGTGGGAGGAACAGTGGAAGGAAGTGGGATTAGAGTGTCATTAGTCAGAAAGTAGTAATCAGAATTCTCACAGCTTCAGTATGGTCTTGACTTACAGCAGAGCTGATTTTCATGTTCTCACTATTAATAATTGCAAGATAATTCAATCTAGGACCAAAAAAACCAACCATTTATGTACTTTTATAGGGAAAATATAGATTGATTAATAAAAGACTTTTAAACATAAACTGCATCTTATTAGGTAATGTGTTGTAGGAATTCAAGTGAGGCAGGCTACCTAGTTTACGAGGGAGTGGAAAATTGCAGAGCCAAGGTTAACAAACAGTCCTGTGACTTTCAACTGACATGAAACTGACACAGAAAAAGTAGATAAAAGTCAGCACTCCCTGCCCTGGAGTGGATCTCCCTCTTTGAGATCACCCACACTCCCCTTTCTGAAGTGTGTACTTTTGGTTCAAATTAAAGCTCTTTACTTTCTGTGACTCCTCCTTAAATTCTTTCCTGTGACTGAGTCAAAGCCTGGGCCCAGGAAGAGATCAAGGATCACATCTCTCAGGAAGAGACTTCCAACACTCCAAGGAGTCAGCTGCCATGGCAGCACACTGAACACAACTGGGGAATGCTATTTTTTCTTGCTGAGGTAGTTCTTTCCAAGCCCACCAGCATCATAGGGAGAAAAAGTAATGATGCAAAGCATTTGTACACTTATTAAATGAATAATATTGAGTATTAAATAAGTTCGACATTTAAGTTACATTAGATACATTTAAACAAGGGATATAATTTTTATTCTAAACGTTCCAATGTGTACAGTGCACCAGAAATTGCATCTTTGCAACTGTCAAAACTTATGATGAGAACTTAGAGATGTCTACCTTAAAATGTGCTGGAGTAATGAATTTTTTAAATTCCTGAAAGAGTATGCAAGGAAAGAGGTATGAACCCACCATCATAGATGACCTTTACCAACTCCAGCTTCTTTCTACAGACTATAGAACCAGCATTTCTTGCCTAGGACGCCTCATAGCGATTATATTT